GCTCACCAGCCTCTTCAGAACCCACACCACATCCATAGCAGCCACAGTTGTCCCCTTAGTGAAGGTGACGCTATCACTGATAACATTCTCCAGGAAGACTTTCACCTCTCTATGGGTTCCCAAGCACATCAGACTGGAGATATACTTCACTCCACCATTGCGAGCCAAGTCAGACGGCAGATAGTGGGCTTGGTGACTTCCTGGATGTTATCATGGAACACCTAAAGGTGACGCTTGGCGCCTCCTTTACCAACTTCTTTCCTCCTATGCCTCTGCCACTCACCTCTGATTAGTCACTCTGCTCAGTAGACCGCTTCATCATTTAGCTTATTTTCAGGTTATTTAATTGGACGGACTTTGAATTAGGGATGCACCGAAATGAAAATTTGTGGCCGAAGCCGAATATTATTAAATGCTTGGCCGAATACCGAGTACTGAATATCTGAGTACCAGATATCATTGTTAAGTTTTTCATTAGTTTTTGCAGATGAACCCCCTCCAGATTAGTGTTGTCACGGTACCAAAATTGGGACCCACGGTACGATACCAATGAAAATTTCATGGTTGTGAGTAGTATCTCAATACCACAGCAAAAATGAGGCAGATGTGCCTTTTGTCATTTATAAAAAGATAAATCACTTTTCTATAATACATCAATGATATTTCAATGGAATAAATTACTTACTGACTTGTTCATACTTCAAAAACAGCATCAATCAGTGATTAACATAGGGGGGATCAAAATAAAATAAATAAATAAAATAAGAATCAACCAGCCACCCTCCTCCCCTGACAAGTCCCTTCATAAGTAACGAACAGTCCCTAAAGTGCGGTGAGGTTTGTGGGCTGCTACTGCCAGAAAGAGTAATGTGAACGGCTCGTTTCTCCTCTGACACATCACATACCTGTGTTCGGCTGGCTCGGCTGTTCAGGTACATTTGGGCAGTCATGACGCCAAGAAGAGGATATTATTGGAGCCGACTTCTCCGTCGCCAGTAAGCCGATGGCTGCCGTATTTGACAGGAATACATTACTGTCTGTGTCTGTGACCCCCGTTCACCCCACAGCCGGTAGGATTCGCCTTTTGTTTCTGCTGGTGGTTGAAATCTGTAGGCTGCTCGCACAGCGTGTTGAATGATTTAAGCCTGTTTTGCTCGCTTAAAACTATTTTTAGTCACAAATGCAGTGACGGGCAGATTGCCACACTGCCGACATTTTATTCCGCCCATCACGGCACGCTGTTTGATTGCGTTATCAAAACACGCATTTTTGCAATATTCGGCCGAATATATTCGGTTACCGAATAGTCGGTGCATCCCTACTTTGAATGCAAAGAGACATGCGTTTAATGTAGGCTTATGTCCGAGCAGTTTTTGGATTGCACTGTTATTATTTTTGGGTTTTATTGCTGTTTAAATGTAGGTTATTTAAAACATATGTCTGGTAGTTGTTCTATGTGGCAGCAATTCTGGAATATTAATGGCTGTATTGGCTGCAAAAATAGTCTAGCATAAACTCTGAGCTTCAGTTGATTTACTTCCTCTTTTGAGGAGTGCTGTAGGATGGCTTTTTTTTTTTTTTTTGCACAGCTGGGAATCCTCACATTTAGGTGACCTGTTTGGGAATAACCTGTCTAGTTCTGTCCTCTTTGTCCCTTTTAGAATGAGACATTTCACATCGTGTTATGGTTTATTGAAAGAGAGATCTAACCCAAAGCAATCATTGGAGTAGCCCAAACTCATCGAGCATTAATAAGTCATGCTTTATTTCCATTCTCGATATTTAGTGACTCTTTCGGTGTCTGTCTTGCTTGAGAAGTCAAGTAGAAGGAATTTCAGAAAGTTTTGATTTGATTTGTTAATATTTAATTTTGTGTTTCTTTGTCATTGTCATTCCTCTCCTGCCCTCTCTTGTCCTTCCATGCCCCTGCAGCTCCTCACTGCACCTGTTTGGTGTGCTGGCATTTAGCCTCAGTTGCTCTGACCCCAGTTGGGAATGTCCTTTAGGATCAAAGAAGAAGACTGCTCAGACTGGGAGAGCTAAAACACTGCAAACAGTTTCATTTATGAGTGTTAAAGTGCAGCATTGCCAGGACAAAACTGTAACACTACGTAGGCCAAAATCCTGTTGAGGCAGCAGTGTGGTTTATTAAATAGGACTAGCCTTCAGCAATAGCACCAAGGATTGAAAGCTTTGTGTCTGCAAAAGTGTCCTTGAGCAATGCTATGAATCTCCTCCAGCTTCAGGGTTGTACCAACCTGACCCTGTTGTGTAACTTCGCTGTAGAAGGGGGGCAGGTGACATGATAGTACCTACAGGATCAATAAAGTAACATGAGAACAACCAGATTGAACTGCCACTTTAGTTACGTATGTAGTTAGTGCGTTTAAAGCAGAAAGGTAAGGCAGACTCAGAGAGAAAAAGACAGTCCAGTATTTTTGTCACCTTTCTGCATGTGGGTCATCCATGTTGAGAACTGAGGCCCTAAATTTAGTGGGCTCAAGCTGAAGGGTGTGAAAGCCAGGAGGCAAACAGGTGGTGGACAGACGATTGAAGTCAGGCATCATAACTGACAAGCAGTCTTTCCCTCTGATCCTATTCTTAGACGTTGTCTCTAGATGCAGCGTCCGTGCTATTTATTCATGCTACATATTTTTGCCAAAACCGATTACCCTCTGGTATGTCGTTATTGCCATGGCATTTGATGTGGGCCAGCGTGGACATTCTCTTCAAAGGCCTTCCCAGTATTCCCTTTAGCGCTCGCCTCACCCCCTCCTCTCTTTTCTCACCCTCCCCCTCCCTCCACCCTTCCTCCTGTTTGTCATGCTGTCACTTTCTCTCAGAGGGCACACAGTGACCTTGTTCACAGGCACTCATGCTGGTGTGAGGTGTGTGTGCGTGGATACAGTTGTGTGTCTTTTCCCAGATCTCTTTCCTCGCAATCCTAACTAAATCAGAACCTGCCAGAGCGCTGGCATGCACACACCGCACGCACACACTGCGCACACACACACACACACACGTGATTGACTAATCTTGTTGGGTCCAACTTTGGCAACAATCTGTCAATAAAGTGCATTTACGTATCTATCATGTGCTCTCATACAGCACCCTGCATTGAGAGGCAGCCCATGTGGCATGTCTGTCTGTGTCCCCTCTAGAAAATGCTGAGTCACCTTCTAGTCCCCATGTCCCCTAATAGGCCATAAGCAAACAGCCATGGTGAAATAATGGCCTGACTGCTGAAACTAGGCCCTCCCCCCTGTGTGGAAAAGGGGAAAACGAGAGTGGAATATTGAACTTTCCTCTGTGTGTGTATGTGTGCGTGTGTGTTTGTGTGTGTGTTGTAAAGAGCAGTGCCATGGCAACAGGTCTCTGTGGAGTAGAAAGCAGGTGGGTGGCACTCTGCTCAAGCTCTAAGCTCTATGTGTGTGTGTGCGTGCTCCCTCTCGCTCCGTGGTGCTCGTTGACTGTATTGAAATCATGTCAGGTGGACCCCCTGCTGACCGCTGCAACACATTGTTTGTAATTAGACACACTCACAGTGGCTCACTACTCAGAAATGAGCAGTGATGCGAAGTTGGGGTGGTTTTGTATGGATGGGGGTAAATGGCTCAGAGTTCATCAATAGTCTGTACAAATCTGCACCAGCAGCAGGAGGGGAGAGAGCTGGCACGCAGTTGACTGCTTGAGACTCTAACCTCCTTTCGGAAAAGGAAATTGCGATTCTGTTGAAATATTTTGGAGCTGTATTTATTTTGACATTCCTGTTTTGTCTTCACAAAACCAGTCACATATTAACATTGCAACACAATAGTCCCGTTGCAGTGTTTTAATGTGGTGTCACACATCAGAGGATCTGAGGTGGTGTCACACATCAGAGGATCTGAGGTTGTGTCTGCTTCAGACGACCTAGACCTCAGCGCTTCACCTCAGGGGGAAGTAGTCAGCTTTCAAACCGCTGACTTTCATGGTTGTACAGTGACATGCGATACAACCTCAAAAGCTTTTTAGAGCGCTCTCAGTGTCTGCTCGCTGCATTTACGGTCAGTGGGGCAACCAGGAGAGGGAGAAAAGCAGCTACGCTAAATGGAAAAGCATGTTAAAAAAAAATGCAAATGTGACCCTACTCTATAATTGTCTCTACATATCCTGTTTTACCTTTTCACAAAAAAATCAGGTTTGAGTGGGCTTTTCATGAAAGCACCTGAAAAACGTAAAACGTTGTGGACCATTTCCGAACCTCAGCCTTCCCAATTCATATCTTGAAACGGCTCCCTATTTAACTGCGTTGAAAGGCAATCGAGCTATGATGTCGGATTTGAATACAGCCCATTTTCCCTTTCAGGTACTGCTAGGGCTACAATTTGGCACCCTCTGAGTGCTTTGGCGCAGCCTTTTCTGGGGGGAAAACGACTCCCTCAGAGAGGTATTGTTACCCGGACAGCATTGTCCTCGCAAACACAAGTCAGAGACAGAGCACACTCTTCTGCACCTCCACACACAGTCCTGCCACACTTTGAACTGTATCCATGTATCATAATTGCATTCCTACTAGTTAAGTTGGTGTGGCTTAAAAAAATCCCCTTCCATCTTCCTCTGATCCCTCCACCCATCCATCTTTCACTGATATTAATTGCTGCAGGGCTAGCTGTCGTCTTTGTCTCTGTGAAGCGAGGGATCTATTAAAGAAGGGTGTCCTTTCAAAGTTAAAGCTAAATAGCTGACTAAAGGACCGCTCCTGTCATCCCGCTTCTCTTCACAGGGCCCCGTCGTCCTCTGTGTATGCCTGCCTCTCGCCTCCGCTTCCTCTGATATGCTGTGTTACTGCACTGGTGCTCCAACACACCCACACTGTCACATTTACTCACCGTCTCTCTCTCTCTCTCTCTCTCTCTCTCTCTCTCTCTCTCTCTCTCTCTCTCTCTCTCTCTCTCTCTCTCTCTCTCTCTTTCTCTCTTTCTCTCTCTTTCTTTCACTCCCTCCCTTTCTCTGTCCAGGAGGAGCAGAACAGAGGGAAGCCAAACTGGGAACACTTAAACGAAGACCTCCATGTCCTGATCACAGTGGAAGACACGCAGGGCAGAGCTGAGATCAAGATGAGGAGAGCGGTGGAGGAGGTCAAGAAGCTCCTCGTACCTGCTGTGAGTACATACCACGCACAAGCTCATATACACGCATCACGGTAACTGCTCATGGTCTACTGAGTTATTTAATGCTCCACCCAAGTAACGCCATTAGAGTTTTCAAGGAAGATGACACAAAACTTGAATTAGCATAGATTTAGTGCTGACAGAGGCCTTTCCATGTTCCACTTTTCACAACAAAAAATTGGGCTACATATGGAACACCACCCCTATCCCGCTGTTTGCATCCTGTTTACCTCCATATATAGACCAGGCGAACAGGTTGGCTTTACCCCCAGTGGCGTGGAAAAACATAGCTAGCTGCACACACCTCCTGCGACTGCAACATTTCATCTCCGCTTCCCCCCTGCCTCGACTTCCTCATACACTGTGCCACTGGTGATGGCTGCTGATAGTTTTTTGGCATGCAGTGTGTATTTTCCCTGTAAACCGTGGTGACCAGGTGGACGGGGCAGCTGAAGGCCCAGATTTGCCATCAGGTGGCAATGCTCAGGGCTTGGTGGTCTGCAGAAACGGGGCCAGCCAATGACAGGCACACAAGGTTAAACAAGATAGGCAGTGTCACTGGAATCATACTGTTGTTAAGCTGCTTTCCTTTATGGCTTTAACCCTGTCAATGCAAATAAAATGTTTGCACGTGTAATTTATTTACATGCTTTGGGAGAAACATGCAGCAAGGATGACGTTCTCCCTGCATATAGCTGCATTACAATTTAGCAGATTATAATTTTTCAGTAGCAGAATTATTATCATCTGAACTGAACCAGTTATGGATGTAAGATCAGACACAAGAGGCGCCATCATGCTGGGGTCTCTCGTCTAGTATGATCACTCCTCCCTGTCTGCCTCAGCGAGGCCTTAGCCCAGCCTGACAATGTGGAAAGCACTTCAATTCATGTCCTCTTGTTTAAGGATTGCTTGTCTCTATTCAGCCCGTCTGTCACTTCTTTGGGTACTTGTTTTGTTTCGGAGAGCAGGAGCGTTTCAGATCTCCACAGCCTGTATGTACACACAGAAGATGTTGACACACTTAAACATGCACATGCGCGCGCTCCAGTATGTGCATGCACGCACAAACTCGGAAGGAAGAAGCCGCCTCTGGAAGCTGCAGTGTTCTAAAGAGTGATGCAGAATGAGTCACTGTTAACACACATGCGTAGACACATACACAACAAAACCCCCTTCGGCGTCCTTTTAAGTCAGTGACAGCTCTTGGCAGCTAACACTCATCTGAATGGAGTGCCACAAAAATAGCGTCCTCACTTTTCTTGAAATCTCTGTTCATTTCGCAGCCCGACAAGTGCATCAAAGATGGTCTGGTGATTCAGTACCTGAACCATTTATTGGGTTAAGGAGAAGCTCTCTTTTATTTCTCGCTCAGAAGAAAGCAGCTTCAAGCCCTTTTGAGACACTAATGAAATTTTTCTCATAAAGTTTCACTCTACCCTTAATTCAAATAAGAGTTTTATAGAGCTAATTAATGACCCATTGCAATCCACCAGAGGCCATTTTCCTTCAAGCAAGGCATCTTTGTTCGTTTAAATGTAATGAAAAGATCCTTCCATCAGATAGATGTGTTTCTCTGAGCCTCAAGTTCACCGGTTAATGCTTTTATTCTAGAGGCATAAATAACATTGAAGGCACATGTGTCTCTGCGTATATGTTTTTATATTCTTGTGTTATCACTCTAAAGTGAAGATACTTGTACATTACTTGAGTGTTTCCACTTGATGGCCCTCTCTACTTCTACTTCACTACATGTTGGAGAAAATATTTTACTTTTTACTTATTTGTCAGACAGTTTAGAGTCTACATTTTTTTTTCGAAAGTAAAAACCGTGTATTTCCAAATTTGGTGATTTCGAGTGTTTCTAATAAACTAACAGATGAAGTCTTCCTTTACGGGCTGGAAAATTCTCCCACTTCTTGAGATAAATAAACTACTTAAAAACCCACTTGGATTAGCCAAAAAAAAAAATGCATCATCACAAAGCTGTAAACAGGACTGTTTTTCTTACAGCATGAAAAGCTGACTTTTTAGAAATACATAGTTCTCACAGGGCAGCAATGCTACAAACATATGATGATCTTATAGAAAGTGATGCATGGCTGTTGATAAATCGACCCAACAGTATGTGAAGGAGTTAAAAATCAGCACAACCATAAACATAGACAGCAGTAAAATGCAACATGCACATCAATGCAGGAGTCAAATTAATCCAAAAACAACATATGTGGTTGAAAAATAGTGACAGGGCACATTTTACTGCACCCTGGCATCTTTTACTTTTCATACTTTAAGTACATATTTCTGATAATACTTTTTATACATTTGCTAAAGGATCTGAATATGTCTTTGCATTGGAGGTCACAGTCTTAATGTACATCACCCTAAAGGCCTGGCACCGGATACGAGTATGACAAATAAATGTCAGTAGAAGTGACGTAGTGTTAGTATAGCAGAATAACTGTCCAGTAATCCTGTTCATGAATGTTGGTTGGTGCATTATCTACCCATAAACCCCTCAGGGCACTATATTTTCTTAATGTCGTTGCGTGCATGCGCATGCACACGAGTGGGTGGGCAGTAGAGCCGGCTGGCAGTAATGCCCTTTATCATGCTAAACTAGATTGGATTAAAGTATGGACACGCTGGAAACGCACTGTTCTAATGAAGGGCATCTTCTCCACATTTGGCAGCGTAAAATCGCCTTTATTAAATCGCACAGGAAACAAAGTGTGAGGTCATGCTTTTTATTCCCTTTCAAGGAACAGGCTTTTCTTGTCATTGACGACGACCCAGCTGCAGAAGTTAAAGACAGAGAACAGAGTGATAACCAAAAGGTTGTTTTGTCCGCAGAGCTGGGGGGCAGATTGCAGTTAAAGGCTTTTTAATAATAGTTTTGCTTTTAAATAATCTCCTAATTGACTCATTTGGGATTAGGAGCCAGGATGTCTGGCATAAAAAACCTTTACTTAACCAGCCAAGCTAAAGTCACCGTGACGTAACACCCAGGCTTATAGTGTTTATTTATGTGGTGAGAAAATTGTGTTGTATATACAGTATTATTTAGTTTTAATGTTTTTATATTGATGATTCAAAGCTGTTTTGAAGATTTGCTCAAAGCCTCCAAACTAACTAGGTGATTCTGCAATAAAATGCACTTATTACACTGACAATATTTCAGAAAAACGTTGGATCAGCTGAGCGTGACTAATGACAGATGCACACTATCGTAAGACATATGACAGTATGTATGTTGTACGTACACTCTGACTGTGTCTGGAACCTTAACTATTCGATTGTCTGACATGTTAGCCAGGCAAATATTGACTATGGAGTGACACCCTGTCAATGGCAGCTCCTTACTGAGTGATTGATTGACAGTTAGTAGAGGGTACAGATGGGAAGTGTTAGAGGTACGCGGGTGCTCCTCTTTGCCCTCTGTAGTGCTCTGTTGCTCCCTCGTCCTGTGAACTCTTCAACTCTCAATGAACTGGGAGCAGGGGAACATCGGTGAGATGAGAGAGACAGAGGGAGGGAGAGAGAGAGATGGGTGGGAGAGCTTGATTGAGCTACTCTTTCAAGTGTGGATTTACTCTACTGATCCTGCCCTGGTACGCACACACACAATAGCGTGCACACACACACACACGGATACGCATGCCCAGAAAAATACTTACACAGATACTGCACATGCATGCACGTGCACGCACATACACACTCGCTGAAATGCTCCGCTCATCCCCTGAGTCTTTGGTTAAGGCCCTCAAACGGAGCTGGCAGCAGAGCCCCACTGCACTTTGGGTAACCTCCACTCAGATACTTGCCGAGCTGTATGCATAAACCCTGACTGGCCCACTCTACTTCCCCTCACTGTCCCTAGAAGGGCTGGAGAGCAATACTAAGTGACCTGTAGGCAGGTGTTTTCCTGTGAATTACAGCAGACACTGGCAAACTGTGTGAGAGACGGAAAACTGGACTTTCATATATGCCATGATTCTGTACAATGATGTAACCATTACAAATAAGAACCAGCTCTCAGCTGACTTGTATAAACAGACACACGCTTGAGCCCAAATCCAACTGAATTACCTCCACATGTTAATAATGATGTGCTGAGTTCTACGCCCCATGTCAACCAAAATTTGGAGGGTGAACACAGAGATTCTTCTGCTGTGTCCTAAGACTTGGCCTGGCAACTGTATGCACATATCTATATGAGTTAGTGTCAAGCTGGCCTTTGGCTGTTGAGCAGTGTTAGCGTGATACATCATAAAAGGCTGAGCGTGTGACATGAAATACAGCAGAGGCACGGTCACTAAACGCTGCTCTGCTCTTCTACATTGGTTTCAGTATGCATGTTGCACCATAGGCCACCCCGGTGTTAAACTGTCAAAGCAGGTATTTTTTATCTTTGATAACCAAGACAAAATTGTGAAATCATTGATGGGGATGTGGCCACAAGTAAAATATTTCTTAATGTTTCTCAACAAGCCATGCAGCAGCAGTTGTCTCCAGGTGATGCAGTGTAAATTTTTGTTTGATCACCAATAGTTACAACAGCCGAGCGATGCATTACAATGATATTAAGTCACACTTAAATGCACAGAATGTTATGTTTTAGTAGCCTTTTCCATTCTGAGTTGAACCTGACAAGTGGTAATAGGTGATTGTGGTTTTGTGGTGACATGTAGGTGGCTAGCGGCAATGTGATGACTGTATGTTGATTTAGATCTATCGTGGAGCCTCTGTCTGCAGGAAGGTTTTGACTGATGTAACTATAGATAGGTGACACTGTGCTTGTGTTTGTGTCCACACACACATTTGCCTGTATCTCTGTTTTTGTGTGTTTATATATGCACAAATATGCTCATTTGTGTGTGTTTTTGTGTGCGTGACTGACAGGTGTACGCACTGGACATTGTTATGGCTATAATAAATTCTCACTGGTCCCCTCAGGTCACTGAGCTGTATGAAGAGCGTATGGGAAAATG